CTGATCAGCTTGTTCGGCGCAAGGCCAGCAACCATCAGGGTGAAAGTTGGCCATGTGTGGTCCGTGCCTCATCCACTCAAAGCAAGGGCCCCTTGGCACATGGAAGCCCTGATTTGCTTGTTCGGCGCAAGGCCGGCAACCATCAGGGTGAAAGTGGGTCGTGTGTGGTCAGTGCCTCATCAACTCTCAGCAAGGGCCCTTTGGCACATGGAAGCCCTGAATCGCTTGTTCGGCGCAAGGCCGGCAACCATCAGGGTGAAAGTGGGTCATGTGTGGTCGGTGCGTCAAGTGAGGATGATGAGCCACTTTGGAATCGTAAGCCTGTCCCAAAAAGACTTCCGGATCACGGAATTCAAACATCAAAGCCCCGCAACCCTCCGCCTCAATATGCAACTGGCACTGCAAAGAAGATTGCTAGTCTCGAAAGGAAATTCGGCTCTACGGAGCATACATATTTCTTTCTCTGCTCCCCTTCTGAAGAAAAAGTATCCCACAAACCAATTCAACACTTGCCTAAAACAGATAAACCTTCACGTCAAATCGCACTTTCTTCAGGCCTTGTACCTCACTTCATCCTAGAGTATCATTCCTTCCAAACGTCTCCATCTACTCCAATATTCGACAAACTGTGTGATGTGATCCAAACGCTCCATGCCATGGCCAGATATCGCCCACCTAACAAACGAAATACCAAACGACTCAATGGTGAAATGCATCTGATAGGATTCCGCCCAGGAAATGACGATGGCAAGTCTGGAGGTATGTCCGAATTACATTTTTTTCCCAATGATGCCCTAAGTAATCCCATATGCTATACTCATGATTATTCATTAATTATTGTCCTAGGTACTTATGTACGCAACAAACTCACCCCAGCTCAAACTGCCGAAGACGATGCAAACTGGGCCAAGCTTCAATCCCACAACGACTTCCTTGCTGGCAGGATGGAAGCTCTCTCTCGAACCGCCTTCCTGGAAAATCAAGCCCTGATGCAAGAATACGGAATCCCTAATTGGACTCAGGAGGAGTGGACTGAAATGAAGAATGAAGATCGTGAACACCTCAAATTTGCTGCAAATGTTTCCGTCACATATAACGATTTCTACAACCAAGCCCATCAAGATGAGAACGACTTAAATGGATGGACCTATGGTATATTTGCTTATATTGATAAGTCAACTGGGAGGCCCATTCCTCCTCCTTCCTCCGAATTAGGTCATGGATTTTTATTTCCAAGGCATGCTTATCTGATTGACTTTGTAAAATCTAATGGCATTGTTGAACTTGTTTGGCAGACTACCAAGTTTGAACATTGTACAACTCCTCCTCCTCCTTCCCTTTCTTCTCAAAATGATCCAGAACGCCCCTGGACTCACCAAGGTTGTTCTTTTCAAATCAACAGGAGACTTGCCAATGTTGCTAAAAAATTAAAAGATGCTACTCCTGAAGAGATACATAAAAAGACTTTATGTAAATCCCAAAAATATCCATCCTGATTCCCTGATAGTTACCTTTTTCAATTAAAGTGTTCTTTATTTACCATCCCCCTTATCATGATGTCTTTTGTTTCATATGAATTCCATATTTTCAATTTTAAACATAAATTACCACTGCTTGATCATCCATCCCAAATTGAAATTGATTATTGAATACAAATAATCAATCAGATACTTGCATTCAAGACAACGCATCCAAGTGACTTATGTAACAAATTCAGAAATTATGTTATTTTGAATCAAAGGCATGAATAAGACCAAGAAACCATATTATTCATCAAAGGATGCGGCACGATGAGAGAAAGATTCAGAAGGGTCATTGGTAGGGTCTGAAAGCCAAGACGAGTCAAAAGAACGGATAGCTTCAAGAACAAGAGAGAACACCTCCCAAACGTTGTGAATGTCAACAACAGGTATCGTGAGATGCATCCCGGTTTCCAGCTCTTTGATGGCTTTGACAAACCATTTGGGAGACGTCTCCATTAATTCTGTCCCCTCCGGATAGAACGCCTGCTGTAAGGCCTCGGCAGCAGATATTGGCACTGGAATCAATCCTTGTTCGCCTCCGACATCCGAGGGATATTGATAGCACCATTCTGCACTACATCGAGTTGGGAGCATGCTCTTCTTGTCCCATCGACGTTTGTAATTGTTATAGTTACTCGTCCATTGATCGAGACTTTCTTGCAGAAGTGGAACCCATAAGTAAATAAATAAAAGACTTTTGATGCATGCGATGTTAGTCAGTTTATTACCAAACCAGAGAAGCTGTGGATAAATAAACTTACTGCTCAACAGGATCTTGTGGATCATAGTACGATTCCTCCTCCGCCCGAAAGAGTTGGTTTATTAGCTCGCTGTTGTATTGCTTCATTAACTGCGACCATAGACACTCAATCTTCTGATTGTGGGTGCTCTTGGTGAACAGGTGTGACTGAATCGGATCTGGGCAGTCTGCATTGAACGATTCGGTGAGGTTGATCTGGTGGCCAGCCATGTGGATTGTTTCGGTTCCCCTGTCAGTAGATGTTCGGCGAGGTATGCCACCTTCACGTTTGACAAGCTCGAGATAGTAGTATCCAATGTGTCGGGGGTTGTTGTTGGTGACATGAACAAAGATTCCCAAAATCTTCCTGCTCCAAGCATCGATAAAACCATAGAGAGTGATCCCAAACTTCTTGAGTTTGTCGTGGCCATCGGCAGACCAAATGAAGTTCGGGCCAGGGGTGTTGAAAACGCGACGCTTCAAAACCCTTTTTGATCGGTTATCAACACCTTCAGGATCAAGGGTACGGTTGATCAATGCAACTGTGAGACTTCATTCCAAACAAAGAAATATCAGAAATAACTCCATGGGATTATAATAACAGAGAAGACGTAACACCCTTATGAATGTTGAACCCATATTTTGTCTGTAACAATTGTCGTATCTTTCGGTAACCAACGTTCCGGCCTTCAGGGGTGTGATGAATTTCCTGAATGCAAGAGACAATTGTATCAATTTCAACCTTGTTGTTGTCCAAATCGTCAGTTCGCCGTGTCAGGTTCATGGATTTGATCTTCCTTTCGAGCATTCAAAAAGATTGAGTATAGTCGTGACTTGTTGTTAGAGCATGGTGAATTTGTGAATAAGACAATCTGTGTTCAAAGTAGGTTTGGATGTGGTCTTCAAGCTGATTGGAATGTTCAGTGGCTTGAAGTATAAGTCCCCAATCTTCCTTCCTTTGTGTGAGTGTTCGTTTAGAGACGGATATGCCGTGCGTGTCTTGAATATGTTTGCGGATTTCAGCGTCTGTCAGGCCAGATTCAACTAGAAGAGAAACCTCAGCCTCAAAATCGTCACCAAAAGATCGCATTGAGGCACGCATGATGGATGGTTGGTGTATGTAGTAAGATCTGGTGGGGTGGTGTTGAGTTGTTGGTGTGTGTCAAGTGGTTGGTGTGTGTCAAGTGGTTGGTCTGGTAGGGTCAGCAGTTAGTGAGAAGAGTGTTTCTTGAGCTCGGTTGCCAGCTGATTCATCGGTCAAAGAGCTGTGGTGTATGTGTTATGCGTTGAGGATGGTAGGTACTTTGGCTCCAGGGAGCTTATCACATAGTTTGTATGTATTGGAATGTTTGAGATGTATTGTCAGGGTGTATGACATACATGTCAGATCCACTTGGCCAACTTGGCGGTTGGAATCACTCATATTTGTTTGAAAATTGGGTTTTTCATTTTTCATTTTTTTTGGCCAAAGTGGCTGTTCAGTACCTCCATAGATATGAAAAAAATGCCAAAAAAGTGACTTGTGAGTGATATTTTACAATAAATATGAAAAAAATAATAATAAAGTGACTTGGGATTCTGGGAGTAAAACTAGGTGAAAAAGAGAGGGGAGGTACCTGAGGTACCTGCAACAGGTACCTCAGGTACCCCCCGGGAGGTGTCTGGTGCGGTACATGGTATCTATTTTCTTGAAAAAATGAACAGGTACCTAGGTCCAAACAAACAATCTCTATCTGGAACTGGGAGAAAGAGAGTGAAAGATGGGAAAACAAGTGACATGAAGGTGACAGCGAGAGAAGAGAGAATGGCATGGGGATACAGAGTTCCAACACTGGTCACTTCCTCCTCTTTTCTCATTTTCTCTGAGAGACTGAGTCACAGTTTCTTAAAAAATGCCAGTTTATTCATCTGGAGTGCTAAAGTGAATCAAATTTGGATGCTGCAAAGGTGTGTAGAAGCAAATTCTCTGCAGTAGTCTTTCAAAAAATCAGAGCAAAGTTTTCATGATGTGTTTCAAGATCAAGACTGAATCAAAAATTGGTTTACATTTGCTGGGTTGATTTTCAAAGGGTTTTTTTTGAAGCAGGTAGATGATTCACATCCTCATTGAGATATCAGATTTAACAATACCATTCATTACTTGAAACATCTACATATAACTAAAGAAACAGCCTCAGAGGGCCAAACAAACCGTCAGCCTTCAATAGGTATTTGTATTATTTCTCATGCGGCTTCTAACGCCGGCGTTGATGTTGCACATTTCAATGTCATTTCCGACATAAGACTTTACAATCATAGCAACCTTCAAAAGCAAAGACCATTACACCATAGGACCTTCAAACAAGTAAAAACCCCAACATCCGGGGCAAAAACAAGCAGCCTCCCCAAATTTGGGGGCATATACTAGTATTTTTCTGAGGAATAAAGATAAAGTATTGAGGTTAATAGAGCAATGAGATTAGTCATCCAGAGAAATAAAGGTTAATATGTAAGATTAGTCCCAGACTCATGTCTACAATTGGCTGACCCTGAAGGTTTGGAGGTGGTTAGATGGCTGGGACTGTTGGATATAGCAACAGTCTCTCTTATTTCTCTTGTCAGAGATCAGTCAAGGGATCCCAGCACGGCTTAAACAGAGGATCTTTGAGCAAACCAATATGTTAATCATCAAAAAAAAACTTGCATCTACTTGTCAAGCAGTCTCCTTGGAGAGCAGGTTCACAACTTGGCCACCGAGGATGCCCGTCGGCGAGCCGTTCAAATTACCCAGCTGCGATGCTGAATCCTCAACGTCAGCCCGGTGTTGGGCTCAACGTCGAATCGTCGAAGCGAGGAAAGTAGTGTGTGAGGTGTCACCAGCTCTCTCAACTGTCACGGGAATTGGTCAACAGGCCTTCAATTTCTCGAGGCTGCAGCCCACCTGCTCTTACTGGCCCAACCACAACATCCTCTTATTCCGACCACACATAGAGGAAGACAATCGATCACGTATACGGAAAACACTTGCCTTCCCAACGATGTCGACATCCGCCAAGAGGAATGGAGCAGCCGGAGACGAACGGGCCAAACGAGCTCGAGTCGAGACGGCCTCAACAGTCCCATCGGGATCCATGGATCGTGTCGAGACCTCACAGGATACCGATGAAGACGAAGAAGACGAAAATCTGGATGCTGCTTTCATATCTGCTGGAGAATCTGAGGATGAACTATCGAGACCCAAGAGAAGAGGAAACGCGAATCCAGTCGAGCCTCAGACGATGACAGCTAATTTCGATCAAAACATCTCCACAGAGCAAAACATGAACTCGGATGCACAGGGAGACTTTATTGCAACCGACTTCCCTGCAGGATGTGACTACCGATACCTGAGCCTCAAGGCCGATCACACATCTCGACCACTCTATATCTCCCCAAATATGGCCACACGGACGATCATCTTAGAAGCCTTTCATCCTCTAGCCTCCCAAGCTCAAGACTTCCTCATCACCATAGCCGAGCCCGTCTCTCGTCCCTCTCATATTCATGAATATAAACTCACCAAACACTCTTTACAAGCTGCTATCTCAGTAGGACTTCAGACTGAAGATATCATCGATGTCCTCAATCGTCTCAGCAAAGTTCGTGTCTCAGCACAGCTTGCCGAGTTTATTCGTGAATCAACAGCAAGTTATGGAAAAGTGAAATTGGTACTCAAGAAGAATAGCTATCATGTTGAAAGTTCAGATCCAGAAGTCCTCAGACGATTGTTGCGTGACAGCATCATCAGTCAAGCCAGACTAACTACTGAGGAGAGCACAACCGCAACCACCGGAAAAGAAGGCGCTATGGTCACCTTTGGATTTAATCAAGACTCGGCCCCCAAAAAGGGAGATTTAGTTATCCCTGGCACGAAAACTATCAACAACAATACTGAAGGAGGAACTGATACAGCAGCAGAAAAACCTAAGAATGCAGATGATGATCTGTTTGGTGCGATAATTGGGGTTGATAATGGTCAGCCCAAATCATTTGACCATACAGAGTTAAGCTTCAAGCTGATATCGGCCACCAGTCGATGAAAACGACGATGACGATGCTGTGCATTCCTTCGAGGTCCAGGGGGCTGAAATAGAAAATGTCAAGCGACGCTGTGCTGAACTAGATTATCCAATGTTGGAAGAGTACGATTTCCGCAATGACACCGTTAATCCTACTCTAGAAATCGACTTGAAACCTGCGACTCAGATCAGGCCTTATCAGGAAAAGAGTTTGAGTAAAATGTTTGGTAATGGGTTGGTAAAATCTTTTTGTTTTCATTTTGATAGACGGCTCCCTAACCTCACAAACAGAATAACTGACTAAAAAATTTATTTGGCAGGCGTGCGCGATCTGGAATCATCGTACTTCCTTGTGGAGCTGGAAAAACTTTGGTCGGAATTACTGCAGCCTCTACCATTCGCAAATCGGTATTATGTCTGTGTACATCAGGAGTCTCAGTTATGCAATGGCGACAACAATTCTTAATGTGGAGTAACATTCAAGACCGTCAAATCTCAGTCTTCACCGCCGATCAAAAGGAGAAGTTTGCCGGAGCGTCGGGGATAGTAGTCTCGACATATTCGATGGTTGCAAACCGGACTAAAAGATCACATGATTCACAGAAGATGATGGATTTCTTGACCTCGAGAGAATGGGGCTTAATCCTTTTAGATGAAGTCCATGTAGTCCCGGCAGCGATGTTCAGAAGGGTGGTCGGAACGATCAAAGCACATGCCAAATTAGGATTGACTGCAACGTTGGTCAGAGAAGATGATAAGATTGACGACCTCAACTTCTTAATTGGACCCAAGCTATACGAAGCCAATTGGATGGATTTGGCTGCAAAAGGACACATCGCTAATGTTCAATGTGCGGAAGTTTGGTGCCCCATGACACCAGAGGTAAGAATAGTGAATGAACATCCTTTTATGGAAACAAACTAATGTTTCTTCCTGCTTTCTTTTTGTTTAGTTCTACCGAGAATATTTGCGAGAGAAATCACGAAAAAAGAACTTACTTTATTGCATGAATCCGCAAAAGTTTCAAGCTTGTCAGTTTTTGATCAAGTACCATGAAGACAGAGGCGATAAAATCATCGTATTCTCAGACAATGTGTATGCATTAGAGGTATGGCATGCGAAGTTTTTACGCCTGTAGACTGAGTTAGTTTCAAATAATGAGAGATTAACGATATCTTGGAAAAACATTCTGGTATTGGATCACAGGCATATGCAAAAAAATTGCGAAAACTTTATATTCATGGTGGGACACCTCAAGTCGAACGAATGCGAATCTTACAAAACTTTCAACACAATCCGCTTGTGAATACGATCTTTCTATCTAAAGTTGGTGACACCTCGATCGATTTGCCAGAGGCTACTTGCCTCATTCAAATCTCTTCACACTTTGGGTCTCGTCGACAAGAAGCCCAAAGATTAGGTCCGTCTTAAAAATTGGTCTGATCATCTTCATGGCTGAGAGTTCGATATCTTCTAATAAAAACAAATCTCATTCAATCTAGGTCGTATTTTACGTGCGAAAAGGAGGAACGATGAAGGGTTCAATGCCTTTTTCTATTCCCTGGTATCTAGAGAGTAAGAAAAATACGAAGATTCCCATCATCGATTAATGCCTGCTGTCTTTGGATAGATAACTAACAGAAACATGATATTGTATGATGATGATAGCACCCAGGAATTCTATTTTAGTACGAAACGACAACAATTTCTGATCGATCAGGGATATGCATTCAAAGTGATCAGTCATCTTCAAGGCCTCGAAAACCTACCCGACCTAGTTTATTCGAGCAAAGAAGAACAGATCGAATTGTTACAATCAGTCTTGTTGGCCAATGAAAGTGATGCTGAGATTGGGACGGATGTCAAGAACTTTGGCGATGATTTGCGCGGTCCTAATGATCGACAGGGGAACAAGAGGATCGGCATGGCTGGTGCTGGTGTTAAACGAATTGTCGGTAACTTGAGTGCGCTTAGTGGTGGACAATCAATGAGTTATATTGAAAGGTACGTTTTTGACGATGATGATCATCATCTCCTAATTCCTTAAAGAAATTCCACCCAAAATCAGTTTGCTAACGTCTGATCCAATTTTCTGGGGGCCGTGTTTTTTTTTTTCTGAATAAACACATGATGATAGAAATAAATCGGCTAACAAGCAATTGGCTAAGGAGCAAGCCAAATCTCGCAACCGAATATTCTCTAAACGAGATGAACAAGCAAAGAAGAAACGTAAAGAAAGAGAGCAACAAGCCAGTGGTTCCTAGTAATACATAGACTCAAAATCTCATCGTCATCATCAGTCAATTGTCATCGGATTGATGCTTATCTATTACTAGATGTATCTTTCTTGCTTGTCATGATGTAAATCTATTGAAGAAAATAAACACTGATGAGAGTGTACTCGTAAGTTGAAAATCTATCATTGTTTCCATATGCCTCATTAGTAGCATACACATATATTGAACTTGCTACTCAGAAGAGTTTTGGCAAGCCTTCGTTACATTTGTAGTACCAACATATATTCCCAAAAATGTCAGTTATGATAAGCAAGTACATCTTTGAGTTACAAATTTCTGCGACTGTGTATGTAGAGATCCCATTATGTATATATTTTTGAGAAATTGATCTACATGTGTACATATTTACATACATCTGTATAAATACGCATAGGATTGTTTTCTTTAGAACATAAAAGCTTACAACACTTATATGAGTCACGCACGAAAAAAAAAATGACAATGATCATAAGCAAAGAACCATATGGATAAATAAATGAAAACGCAGGCCACATCAATTTTCTTGTTCTTAGTTTATTTATAGCCAAAAGTACAACAACAAACCAATCAAGAAGTCAGTGAATTTTGAGAAGAAGAAAAAAAGGGGGGAATTAGGAAAGAAAAAGGGACGCGATTGAGATGATCGGATTCGAGATAGCCAATGTTTATAAATGGTTTCATTTGTTATCCATCGGTGGCTGAGGTGGTTGTATAAGCAAATACTGCATCCAAGCCCATGATCTTTGTCTCCAGATGACGAAGTAATGAAAGCTGGAATCGCAAAACCAATCAAAAAATGGTAAGCCAATGATAAAAAGAAAAAAAAGAGAGAGAGAGGGGAGATTTTAGAAAGAATATTTCCAAGGAACTTACGGAGTCAATATTGGAGCTTTTGATCCCGATTCCCTCCCCGACCATGTATGGGGAAACAGTGACGATTAAGATATTGAGGATCGGATTATCTGAGACTTGGTTGAGGATCGAGGAGATTATCGCGGCTCCTCCTTCGATCATCAATCGATTGATCCCATTCAATTTACAGACTTCTAAAACTTTCTCTAAATCTAATCCTTCTTTGGCTTTATACGTCCCTCTCCCCAATTTTTCAAGACCAAAAGAACAAGAACAAAGAATGAAATATTACAAAAAAAAGGGATGTGAATTAGATGAGTAAATGTAAGTTGATGATCGATAAAAGGAATAGAAAGGATGGGTAGATTTGGAAAGACGATGAAGTGGTTCGGCAAGTATCTTACATACATGCATTCATTCCGTTTGTGATAGGTATCACGCGAGCACCCGCAGCTTCCAATTCCTGACGTCTCTGCAAAGACATTGCGCTTCTAGCGCATATCAGCCAGGGTTGTTTCCCGGTTTGATTTTTGTAGTTTTTGATCAATTTACAATCCGCGGGGGTCCTGAGAGCGGTATCCAAGACGATCGGTTGTGGTTGCTTGGCAAGTGGGACGGTAAGAGAGATATTACGGACTGAAAAAGAAAAAAAAAATGAAGGATTATAGGGGTGAGCATCTACATCTGCCTCTCAAGTGATATGCAGTAGCTATGGCTTTATATGTTGACCTACATACCATTTAGCTGTGGGTCATCGTTCAGTACGGTTCCGATTCCAACCATTATTCCATCATGTCGGGCGCGTAGACTATTATGTGGGATGAGAACCAGTTAGGGCTCTGAGGTATGAAGATGAGGGATGAGCGGAAGCACTAAACAGATGTGTCATCTTCATTGACTGGTTCCCGCTCAGTCTTAACTGTTGGCCATCAGCGCCGGCGATCTTGCCATCGAGTGATTGAGCATAGGTCAGGGTGACGAAGGGGCGTTGATTGCAGCCTGGACAGGCTAGTAGATCGACCGGCTCGGCAGTGCTGGTGGGCGGCTCTGATGGGAAGTTGGAGTGACTGTAGACTTGATCGAGGAAATCTCCGATCTCGCTCGAGGTGGTTGTGGTTGAGAGTGATGATAAGAGGCCGAGCATCTCGGGATCGACTGGTTCGAGTATGTCGTGGTGCTGGTGGTAGTTCTTGAAGATAAATTGGATAATTGATTTTAAGTGGGGAACTTTAGAGAGAACTGGCTATTTGATCAAGGGAAGAGCCCCCCCCGAAACATCCGGGACTCTGGAAATGGCAATCAGCTGATTTATGTAAATTTCTACCCAGCCATCCAATTCCCATCTCAGCTCCTCCAAATTCACATCACACAGAAAAGACAGTCCCTTGTCCTCCTAAGACAGGCAGGTAGGAGCATGATTAAGCAAGCGTATCCTTTATCTTTGTTCATGATGAAGAACATTTTTCAAACATCTCGATCAAGGATTTACACAACTAAATACAATCAAGCATGAAGTATAGGAAGTCATCTAATGAAAGGACATCCCTTCATTCTTCAGTCTCCAATTCCAGCCTTCAAACACCCTTATTATATTTAACTCCGCAGGTGAAAAACATTAGAAACCCTTATTGGGAAGGGGACTTCATATGACTCGTAGTTTAGACAGACATCCAAATTACAATAGTCTAAGGTCTTTTAACATAATCATGATGGTGGTGAAATGTGGAAATATTCACCACAACACTTGAATATTTCACCTGATGTCCATGTACTCACACAACACAACACACAGGCCTTAGAAGCAAAAATTTAAAGTATGTTCAGTATGTCTCCAAGAAGCCCTGGGCTGAGGATAGACAAAGCTTGTGTTAATTAAATTCTCCATTGATTTTTCTTGGTGATGTAGGCACTGAATCTCATTTGTTAACTTGGTTCTTTCTCCTGGCATTGTAAACTGTTGAGGATGAAAAACTTTGGTGCTGTGAATTATGGAACACTCATCCTGGTACATTGAACAGTCACTTTGCTTGCTTTTCTAATTCAACTTTGAGACAGCTGGCCCCCAAACCAGATGTAAGCTTTTTGTTTGATAATGAAAACAGTGATTTGATGAACACAGTGGTTCAATGAACACATTGGCAAACTTTAAAAGAAAGCTCCCCGGAGTTCACATTTGTGTCACCCTGGCACAGGCATCTAAATAAGTCAGTGATATTTTCACAACTTTTATCACAAAAAGTAAAGCTATGAAACAAATCTTATCTTGAGGGAGTGGTTTATTTGGTTAGCACTTTTCAGTTTCTGAGAGTGAAACAGCAAGCCCCACTACTATGCACAAAGTGTATTTTTTTTAGAATCACACACAGATTTAGGTTTTACCAGATTCCATGGTGTTCAAAGTATTTTGTTTTGCAAAGTAGGACTATTTACATACATACCTATGAGCTTTCTGAAAATCACCATCACTTTCTTGAAATTGAATTGATGAACTTGAGATTTTTCAGGAATAGTTACTAAGATTTGGAACCGGATCAGGTGGTACTCATAGTTACTTATAAGGGCTCGTTTGGCCGTCCATGATCGTCATAAACAATCATGGCGAATATTTTGGGGGCGCACAGCTGAAGACGGGGCCTCACAATGGTGTTTGGGAGGCCACGTCATATCCACTTTCTTTATGACGGAAGTGGTCAGCGAGATATATTCCCTGCCAATTCCAACATTTTGGGTCCCCCCAAAATTTTCTGTCATAAGGCCTCACAGCAAGTTTGAGAACGATTTTCAGGCTGCGTCATTTGCACAGCCTGGAATCATCAAACCTAGATTCTGATTTAACGATTTGAGACGACGGCCTATAACGATTGTGGACGGCCAAACGAGGCCTAAGATTTGGGATCAGATCATGTGGTCCAATTAAAATTCATCAGACCTGAGATTTGGGAGCTAAGCTCTCAACAAAAACCAGCCACAAAACCTGTATAGAATTTTGATAGAATTTATACCAAGAGAAATAGAATGGAGCACTTTGCGCCTGAGCTCAATGATAATTTATTGGGGAATTGCACTCTTGTCATCTTGTTTCAAGATTAAGGGGTTAGTGCCTGGTGACAGACAGGTGATTAAAACACTTTATTTCCATTGTTTATACTTTACTGTTGATCAAGGAAATACAGGCTAACACAATCTTGCATGAATTTTTTCTATTTTCTAGTTCAATGTCACATTCCTCAGAAAAAAAAATCCTCAGTCAGAGTTTGTTCAGGTTGTCCCCAAGGAAGCCTGGGCATTTGTTTCAATGGCTTGGTCAACCACACCAATCTGCAACACCCTTGCTCTTCCAATCCCAGCTTTGACCAGTTCTTGGGGGTGTGAGAACATGAAGGGACAGGCTTTTCAAAGCAGGTGTTTGTTAAAGTTCAGATTAATGTACTGCTAATTTGTGATTTTGCCACTGAATCCCAATGATTAGCTTGGTTCTTTCTCATACATAGTATTGCAATCTATTGTGGATGAAAAACTTTGTCAATTAGACTTACGGAGCACTCATCCTGGTACATTAAACAGTCAAATTGTCCTTTTGAGAATGTTTGCCCCCTAATCAAGTGTAGGTTTTTTGCTTGATGATCGACAAAGTGGGTTGTTTGAAGCGCCCCACCTTGAGATCTTGGTGGATACTTTGATGGTAGAGCTAGTTCCTATGAAAGAAATGAGAGAGACTGGATGACTTCCCGTCACTATCTACAACCCTCCCAGAAGTTGTTTTACACCCCCTAGATCTGAATTTTCTATCAAAAAAAATATTTTTTCTGAAGCCTCCCGGCAATAGCTCTCACATGAGCTGGTTGGAATCTTAATTGCTTTCTTAATTTAAGACCGAGAGAGGTCTACAAAAATTGTGACGGGAAGTCCTCCACTGTTTCGAGATCCCACAGTCGGAGTCCCAGCCACCCCACATGGAGGAAACATACATACACTATAAGCCGCTGAAGCCAGCAACCAGGGAAAACGAGTTTAGCCGGAGGAGGAGTAGGAAACGTCTGGGACCAAGACGGCAATATGCTCGACGTGATTGCAGGCCATCCGGCTCCAAAGCATCCACAGAGTCTAGAAATCCGCGACAAGCGTGGACTCTTGCCACTTGGTCGCCAATCAGACTGATCCTATTAACATTCCCCTGAATTTAGCTCTGGATTGCTGAGCTTAATGCTTTACTTTATCTTTTCCTGAGTCAGATGGGCCAAGTCGATCGATTGAATTTCTTGATAACAACTCTTCGATAAGGATACCAGACCGGATTGCTTCATAATGCTTAAACTTTTTTTCATTACAACAGTCTTGATCATCAAACCTATCGAAACTTTGGGCAGGATGTTGATGATCAGAACGTTGACCTAAAAAAGAAACCCTAATTGGTTTCTGTGCATCCACCCACACGGCGTCCCCGTTTGAGTGACCAGCTGTAATTGGCACCCGAGCTGGAAAAATTCGTCGGCTCAGCAACCCACATGCAACGTTCATCATTAAAAGCTTGTTGTACAACGAAGCTATTATCTTGGAGGAGTAGTTATTCGGCCAGTCCTGGTTCTTCAGTGTCCCCAAATGAAACAGTGAGTCTGGCTAACGTGCCCACATGATCATAATCATAACCCAAAAAAAATTGCTCTATACATACACGCACAACCGTCCTCCCCCCCCTCCCAAAAAAAAATGACCCCTTAGGTATACAGGTGTCTACAGCAGACACATGGATCGGAAAGCCCCGAACCGAAAGCCATTATGCTGCTCTGAGGATGTGGCGGGACAGATTTGTGCTTGCAGTTAACACGTGTCATAGCCTTTTCAAGGATCTAGATTCGACAAGCGGTTCCTATATATATATAGGAGAAGTCTAATCAATTCCACCTCCCATCTCTTATCCGACATATTGTTTTTCTTTTTTTTTTCTCTCTTTTGAAGAAATGTGGTCACTTTCCATGAGATTTATAATGGTAACTATGGTTAGCTATTCCACTTGACATTATATAGCTTATAATACATCGGCCCAATCAAAACTGATGAGCAGTTATACGCCACTGGTCTGTGAACTGCAAGCTTCTTTGGGTGTTAGTAGTTGCTGGATCAAGACCGGTGTCTGATCCACTTGGTGAGCTCATATTCCGATCAATCATCCAAGACAATACATACTCGATTGTTAAGTGTGGTTGGCAATGCAATAAAAATTACATTAATAGCTTCTGTAGGTCCAAACTTTCTCCTGAAATCCAGCAATCTACACGCCAAACGTGGCTTGAGTGAAGTGAGTGATTTGATTGAGGTTTGCTATGATACGAGAAGGATGATATAAAATATGTGTTCCCTGACTGATCAATGGGTGATTGATTGATTGATTGATTTAGACGCCAAGTTCCTCCACCATATGTGCAATTTGTCTAGATTCCTTAATAGAAGAAGAAGCCTTCGAGTGGACAGGTTGCGCGCATCGATTCCACGATTATTGTGTGGAAAGTTTGTCATGGGTTGGTGGAGCATTGGAAGCTCCAACATGTCCATTGTGTAGAGCGCCTGATGGGAGCCTGGGAGAAAGGCTAAGACGATTACGAGCTGGCACTGCACGGCCAGCGCAACACTTCAGCAGCCTCAGGCCAGGCCCCCGGGTAAGCAATACTCCTCACTCTCAGCCTCAGCTCTCAGGTCACAGGCCAATGTTAAGCTGATCGGATGTCATGAGTGGACGGGATGTCTCTCTGTAGCATCCAAAGTGTCCCATGTGCACATCAAGAAACACAGCTAGGTCTACCATCCAACGGCCAGGAGTCCTGGGGATAGAGTATCATTGTTCGAGATGTAATAACCAATGGCTATGGGTTCACCCTTAATTACAAGACCTATGAAATCCATCGAGCTCACTGGAATTGTGCATCCAAATGGATCAATCAAACCAGCACCAGTTGTTTCTAATATTGGTTGAAAGCATAATCCTATGATCAAAAATTAGATTCTATGAAAGCTTCAAGATGGGTTCTTTACTTCTCCAGAAATCCAGAGAGTTCCCCCCCCCCCCCCTTTAATCTAAAAATGTCCACAAATGCACCCCAAATGATTACATTTGAAGTTGTATGTTGATCATGGATTGAGGCACCAGTTGATGGAATTGAGAGGATGAAGGCCTTTGTTTCAGACTAAATTTGCCCCCTTTTTTCCCTAAGGAAAAGACCCTTTCCCTAAGGAATAAAAAACCCATCTAGCCACTGATATTTATGATCAGTTTACAATTTACTCTCAGGCCATGGTTCTTCAGCTCTGAACGGCTCCAAGAGTTGATGACCAGTTGGGGAAGGATCCTAAGCAAAGGATCCACACTCAGCAACCGTGGGTTGTTCGACTCAGCCTTTTGGAGATCAGCAAGCCCAACACTGCTGCAGACACAAACTGTGAATAATAAACTGAGAATTTTTTGCATTGATCGTTCTATTTTTAAGTCTGTGATTTGGGATGTCGGTAATCCTAGTCAGAAAACCCAAATTTAGATTTCTATATAAAACAAGAGAATTATTTGGTATCCTTTGACATCTCTTGAAGAATCTCCCAATTTTCGTGGACGATATCTAAGCCAGCTTTCGGTTTATTGATCCGAGAAGTCGAGGACCCGAGCCGATCGGCGGCCACAGCAGGAGCCGAAGAAGAAGAAGAGGGGATGGAGAATTTGGAAGAGAAGCGAGAGATCCGATGCTGAGGATCGTCCTGAATTTCGCTAGCCGATGTCCCACAGAGCGCGTCCTTCAACCCGAGCCAACGGAGGTGGCCGGCCCGGATCCGGTGCGCCGAGGTGATCGGATTCAAGTCTTGCTCGCTCTCGCCCGAGCGCAGGATCGTCTTGTTCAACGTCAGGCTTCGGATCGTCGAGGCTAATAGGTTCGGAGTATGTGCAGGCGGATATGGCGTCGGCGGTTTCTTGAATAAGATCGAATCATCTATAAATTTAACTAGTCGTTCACTAAAAAAAAAAATTGCCTCCTATTTAGTACCGATTGTCTCTCTCTTTTTTTTAAAAAAAAACTTTCAAAAGATCTAGATTAATTCGATCTGAAACTCAACTTAGAATGAAGAGGAGCGAAATGTTCCGAGGCATGATAGAGCGAGATGATCGATCGAAGAGCCCGAGCCTGAGGAGTTGAAACTCGAGAAGCAGAAGAAGCAGCAGCAGAAGAAGAAGAAGAAGATGATGATGATGATGGTGGTGAGGGTGGATGAGTTTGAGATGAAGAAGAGAGTCGGGAGCCGAATTGTTTAGCTGGGATTTGATGGATACCAAAGGAGTTCTTCGCCAGCCGACTGGTAATTCGTCCTCGATGGGCGGGTAGGAAAGCGGCGACCATGATGGATGATGGATGGTGTGTTGATGCTCCAATCAGCCGATCCGACACTCACTTGGGCTGTCCGCGAGGGGGGGCTGGGGACACCTGGGTCTACAGACTCGGGAGTTTGGGGGGTCTGCGCATATCCAAACCCTCCCTGATCTAATGCTCACTCCACACATAGCCGTAAATCAGTGACAAAGCTAGCAAATTTGTAAACCACGATTATTCTATCTACAACTTTTTATACACATTAAATTTACTTGAACAAACTCAAACCTAAAGAAACGATGTAAATATATGAAACTATCAATATGTACACAGACACACATCTTATAGCGAAAACTACATACATTGTGATTTTAAAAGGAATATGAATGACAGAAGTGTTCTTCTGTTCAGCTAATTATATATATATAAAAAAAAAAGAAATCTACGAAAAAAAGAGAGAAAAAAAAAGCATATACAATGTTCATATTATGTTAAATATATTCAAAAAAAGAAGAGAAGAGAAGAGAAGAGAAGAGAAGAGAAGAGAGAAGATGAGATCTGGAGAGATTAAAAGAAAAGAAAAGAAAAGAAAAGAAAAGAAAGAAAGAAAGTGATAAACAAAACCAGAATAATTTTAAAGAATCGCAAAAAAAAGGGAAAGGAAAATGAGAAGTTATGACTAGTTTTTCGAAAGATTGTCTTATCATGAAAAAAAAACGTCAACAACTGATAGGAAAAAGATTTGAGCTAAGAAAGATAATAAACAAACCCACACACACACCTATACATACATACATACACAAAAAAAAAAAAAAAAGAGTCAATGCTAGTAGAAGAAGAAGAATCGGTTAAGGTTTTGAGAGATGATGGTGGTGGTGATGGTGGTGGTGGTGATGATGATGATGACGAGGAGGAGGATTGGGATGAGCGTAAGGATGATGATGATGATGAGGCTGCTGCTGCTGCTGCTGATGGTGATGATGTTGTTGTTGTTGATGGTGATGATGATGGTGATGATGATTGATCTGAGGAGGAGCAGGGGGAGGAGGATTAAGCAATCTGCGACGATGGCGATGGATGAGTTGAAGATCATCGAGGATATCGTGCTGGTCGAGTTGCCAGATCGAGTGGTTTCGGATCCGTTGACGACGGAGGCCTTCGACCAGATCCATGCTTTCCTTGAGCTGTCCTTCTTCCCCCACTCCCTGATCTTCACCATATCGCTTCTGCCCCTCATCCCGATCATTATCAGCCAGCTCATCATCGGTGGCGTTGTCAAACAGAGGGAGATGCGGCCGAGAGGACGAGTTGTTCTTCGTGCCCGCCATCTTCCGCTTCCCGTTCAAGCTCTCCTGTCCATATCCATTCGAGCCCTGTAGATTGGAGTTCGGCCCGCCCGGCTCCCGCCGATGATTGCTCCCACTCGCCGCCCGTCCTCCGTGGGCTTCCACTGACGACTTGCTGATCGTTAGCCGATCGCTCACTATCGTCGTCGTCGAGGCTCCCGTGGTGACTTCTTTCAGATCCGGTCGATTCAGACTCAGGATAGGTTTCATATACGCCGGTGGTGGAGTGGGTGTCAGATGAAAGATTGCTTGTAAATCTAAAACAAACAAAAAAAAACATTATCAGTTTCGTTTCATTTTTTTTGAAATTATTGACATGAAAGGAAAGCAGGAAAGAACTAAACTGGTTGTATCATTCGAGATAAGAAACTCAAATGGAGCACGATTCAAACGGATCTGACAATCGACTATCATTTCGGTTTGGATTCGAATTTTAGTCTCCTATTTTGATCATCATCATCACCAACATTTTTTTTGATTATTAAAAAGAAAAGAAGAAAAGGAAAGGTCCGAATGATTTGATCACATTCACGAAGGAATGAATGAACATATGTAGAAACCAAACCAAACAGAATCCAAATGTCAATAATCCAAGCCATTAAACCAAGTAGATACATTCAATCCAATCATCTCCTCCTCAAAGAATAAGGAAAAGAAAATTGAAATTGAAGGGTGGATGAATATGATTTGATGAGACCAAATCGGACATCATTTTTTTTAATAAACAAAAAGCTGTCAGTTTTTGTGGTTGATACTTCCAAGTCTGATTGAGCTTGATGGTGTGTGTGTTTTGTGAGGAATGGGTTTTGAAGATATGTATAAGGGATTGGAGCGACATGAGCCAGAAAGGCATGAAAACTGTCGAGATCATGCCAATCTTACACGAACATGATTTATGATAAAGGGTGGTGATAACAATCACCGAACTATTTATTTATTTTCTTCTCAACTTCTGATTGGTTACTCACAGTCCAAGTATCCCAAATTCTCTGTTGGCGCTCATGATTCAGACGATCCAAATAGGTCTTGAGTTGGTCGAACTTGTGCTGTGCTTGAGTCAACCTTAAGGTTTTGCCGATCTGGAGGTTCTCTTCTAATGAGATGAGGATCGGATGTTGACTGGTCTTGATCAATTCTTCTTCCTCTTGTAAATTCTCTAATAATCTGTAATAATATCCATCCAGAAAAAAACACAAGATGTCAGAAATCCTGATGAATAAAAAAATTATAATAAAAAAAACGTGAAAGAAGACAGACTTAATTCTGGTCTGTTCGATCTCTTTCTTTTGAAGTTCGGTTAATCTTCTGGACCGATTGAGTTTGGGATTCCCACGTGGTTGATGGTGATGGTTACGGAGTAAACCAAAGGAGGAAGAATGGGAGCGTTTGATGATAGTTTTTCTGAGGGATGGTTTCTGTTTAGGTTTCATTGGCCGATGCGGGGAGGAAGGGAGAGAATGGGAGGAGTGCTGGGGGACGGTGAGTCTTGGGGGCACTGATGATGGAATGGATTGCTGTTGTTGTTGGATGTTTCTTGTGGGGTTGATGGAGATGGAAGGCAGAGGTTTGAGAGTGAAAGATCAGTGAGCTTGAGCTTGAGGCACGCAGCTATTGTTGTTGGTTTGTGT